CTTTCAAATGTTCTAGTTTTATTTTGTTTGTATGTTTATGTGTTATTATGCTGTAAGCTGTTTTAACTCCCTTTGTGTATGAAATGTTCTATATGAATACATTTGAATGAATGGCTCGTCAGAACAGACGTAGAATCATTTTCAACCCGCTGACTGGTTCCTTAATTCACCGTCGCAGCTCTAATCCTGCCATCGAATGAACTAAACTACGCGAACAGATTAGTGTGAAGACTAAACGACTAAACGAGGTTCAGGTTGTTTTACATCTGAAGAGCATAAACGGAGGTCATTTTGCTCATTTCTTTTCCTTCCAACAGCACAAAGAGATGTAAAAACAACAGTACTCCTGTACGCTAACATGACAGACATGGATCCTGTTGTTGAAGGTTTCATCTTCCTCTTGGCTTTCAGAACAGCAGATAACTTACTTTCAGCTTTCAGCCATGTTTCACGAACAACTAACGAGAAAACAACATCTCAGCGTCGTTTCCTTTACATGACTTTAAAAACCTCGACGGGGGAAATCACCACAGCACCACCTCACCACCTCACCACAGCACCACCTCACCACCTCACCACCTCACCACAGCACCACCTCACCACCTCACCACAGCACCACCTCACCACCTCACAACAGCACCACAGCACCACCTCAGAACCTCACCACCTCACCACAGCACCACCTCACCACCACCTCACCACAGCACCACAGCACCACCTCACCACCTCACCACAGCACCACAGCACCACCTCACCACAGCACCACCTCACAACAGCACCACCTCTCCACCTCTCCTGTATGTCCTCTGAGAGGAAAGCTTTAATTCATTCTTTAGGATGAAGTCAGCGTTGAGTTCCCCGAAGACTCAAACTGCAATAACATCATGTGAGCCGAGGCTGCATGTTTCATAAAGATTCATATATACATGATATAAACGTTATACCCTTAAAATAACAGTCAGTGTCGTTTTGCATCTTTAAAACATGTTTTTGAGAACATGTTATTTCACCCCCCGTTTAAAGTTTAAGTTTAAAACCAAAGTAAAAATATATTAAGATCTTGTAAGTAAAACTTCAAACCCATATGTGGACACATTTATGTTTACTGTGTGTTATAAAGTATTTATTACGTATTGTTTATTAAGTGAGTATGCAGATGTACAAATCCTTCGGTAGGGTCAGAAGTCTTTATGTCATTGTAGATGTCATTCTGTCCAAACACAGCTTGCATGTTCTTAATAAACTCATTTGTTTATTTAGCTGCTGGGAAAGTCTGAAACCCACAAAAGCTAACTTCATATCTATATTTATTAAGATTTGATCTATTTATCAGAACCATATGAAGCCTAAAACTCAATGAACCTCCAGAGTAACTGGGCTGAAAAGCCGTGTTTTCTTGACTCTGTTGCACCTGTAACCACACCCAGCAGTGATGTCACGGCGTACTGACACACCCTGACGTACACTTCTACATCACTGCAGCCGCATGGCAGCTTTAACCATTGGAGGAAAACGAAAAATGTGCTCTTTTTAAAAAACGTAAATGCGTGCTCAGACATTAGTGTGATGCAACACAAGAAGGCAGAAACTCATGCACGCATCGATAGATCAGACACACAGACATGCGCAGACATGCTATAGGTTTGAATACAGCACTTACCAGCTTCACAATGTGGTACACATCCCTCCCAACACACACACACACACACACACACACACACTGCAGGTGACTCACCTTGAGGTCTCTGTGTACCACCCCCATCTGATGGCAGTGGAGCACGGCCTCCAGGATCTGCTGGATGCAATGACTGCACTCAAACAGCAGGGGGGGGAGCAGGTTAGTCTGATGCACATTCACCCCCCCCCCTCAACAGTCACATCCATGCATGAGTATTCTCGCTGCACACTCACACCAAACTCACTATCATAAAAAAAAAAAGGTGTTAAGAGTGAACTAACAGAAGAAGACCACGTGTGTTCCCGGATCAGTCAGGCCGTGTGTGGCAGACGCTGTGTCTAACCTGCACTTTGTTTCTCCTGTGTAATGTATTCAGGAGCACTGCTGCTGACGAAAAGCTTGCAGGATTTTCGAGCATCTGAAGTAAACACTGCTGTTTCTCTCTCTCTCTCTCTCTCTCTCTCTCTCTCTCTCTCTCTCTCTCTGCTGGGGCCCACAGGAAATCACACTTCTAGTTCAGACCGTCTAAAATAGTGCAACAAGAGTCCCAAAAGCACAAAAAACAAAGAGTCAGACTGACAGACAGCAAGCACAGGCATAAATCACAGGCACAAAATTAAAACAGTACAACAAGCATGTACCCTTGGACATGAGGGTGCAGGGCAATGCAACACAATGAGACACACACACACACCTTGAGGTCCCTGTGCACTATGTCATGTTGGTGGGTGTAAGACACACTGTCTAGAATCTGATGGATACAGTGACTGTGGAGACAAAACGACAGGGTGAGGGAGCAGATAAAGGAGGGAACACGGGAAGGAAAGGAAACATAACAGACGGGTAATACATCAATAGAAGGAACATCTGACAGGAGGAACAGAAGATTATATGCTCAGTTCACCGAGATGACAAAAAAACAGATTTCCTGACTCATCTAGAACTTGTCATGCAGATAGTGTGGTTTTTATTTTTCCGGTTTTTGAGATATTTGCCTCTGAGTTTTCTGCCGTCACTTCAATACAACGCAGGTGAATGGAGGTTAACTCAACCTGAATGATAAACCACATCTCATGGCAATCCATCTAATAGTTGGTGGGACATTTCTCTCCAAACCAAAACTGTAAACCTCACGGTGGTGCTCGA